ACTTATCTAAAGTACATATGACATTTTGTGAAAAATCTGTACATGATGGAGAAAAATGAATATCATTTTTGGATTCAGCGTACAGGAATTACCATAGAACATATAAAAATTTCAAGAGAAAAAATTTCCTTTTACCACCAACTTAACCATGCATTTTATTCATCAATTAGTAGCTACTTTCAAATTCTCTACGTATCTATATAAACAACCATCCCCTACTTACATATGTGTGTGTATGTATGTACGTATACATATACATATCCATTCATTTACAACTTATGTATGTATTCAATAAATCTTATACTTCTACATCTCTCCATCTTCCAGCCATCAATTATATAATTAATCCCTTATCTGTCTATACCTTTATCTATCTAGCTATCTATCCATCCATCACAAGCTACATGTGTGGTAGTTGAAGTTGAAAAAAAAACTTATCAGAAATTGCTAGTGGATTAACACCTTAGCTCAGTTGGTAGAGCATTTTCACACTCAATGTCTGGGAGACCTGAGGCTCAAATACAAGCCAAGGAAATACAAAAATACTTAGATTACTACACATGTATTATCCTATTTTATCATTCAAGAATCAATCTATATGCTTCTATATAAACTCATTACTTGTTATTTACATATTAATCATTATTTGCTTTCTATTTATATAACTTACACATATATATCCTGTAAGCTCTTTCTATTTTGAAGTGTTATGACATCCTTGCCATAGTTTGATTGGTAAACTGATCTATTAAATATTATTGATAACTTTAATAAACTAAATTTAAAACATATGACAGAAACATAGGAAGCATCCTTGAAATCTAACTAAAAGAGTAAAAAGTGAAAATATCAAGTACAATATCAAACGTTGTACTTACTACTTCTCCTGGTATCCCATCATAGCCTTGTTCTCCTTTAGCACCTTTCTCTCCCTATACATTAATCACATTAAATTTTCAATTTCGGTTTTAAACACTTTTTAAATATTAAAAATCCAAAAAATGTATTTCAAACAAATAAATGTTAAATTTGCAATGTCAGAAAAACGAAGCAGGTCAATCCAAAGAAAATTTTATATTTTAAATACATGATTTAAAAACAAACAGTTGTAGTATATGCAATATTTTTAATTTCAATTTTGCTTCATGTTTCACATAGAAAGCCTTAAAAGTTACTAAAAACTATAACAAAACTGTGTTTTAACAGTATCATCTCCAAAATAATAACAACATAAGAATTTCATAGAACCTAAACTTGTTCTATACATATATATATAATGTTTGATTTCATTAACACAAAAATAAACTGTTATTAGGTATGGGCAAAATATGCTGAAAGAAAAAAATTATTAACACACCACAACTTTGTACCAAGGTTCATGGGATTTAGCTAAGTCATACCCTTTCATAGCCTCATTTTTCCTCAAAACTTTCATATTTGTTTTCTCCATTAATCTAGTTTTGTTAATACACACAGTTATCATAAATCAGTTTATTAAATATCAAAAATTTTATGAACTCGTGATAAGATAGATACATAAATTTAATCAACCCTCTCTGACTCTATGTATGGGTCTAAAGATTTGCATTATTATCATATTACTTACATTATGACCAGAATGTTCTCTATATCAGTTATTTGAATTTTAATTATAAAATGAATAAAAAAAGTTTACCATCAATATTTTGGATGAAGTCAAAGAGAATCCTAATAAAATATCCATAACAACAGGTTAAAAAAACATATCCAGTAAGAGAATAGTCAATGGTTAAATGCTAAACAGCTCAAGACAATTTTACAATTCCAAGTTAAAAACAGTTATAATAATTAAATAGGTATTCTCTAGGTGCAGTACATTATAGCCTAAGCTCAAAGATTCAGAAGCTATTATGTCTATATGAATCTCTTCATTAAAGCTATATTAAAATGGTTTTAATAGCTGGTCCATTTTCAACTCTATTCTGAAATTTTTATTCCTGTAATGCCTTGTTCTAGTTTAGTATAGTTTATATTTCTTGCTTTCTAAGATCTCACCTTATCTTTTGATCTTCTTTAAATTTCCTTTCATGAATGATATTATAAATTGGTTCTCTATAATGCTATCTTCTAAAACATTTTCTTGTTGTCCAGTTCTCATTTATGTTTTTATCCAAAATCTTAACTTATAAGCTTGTCTTCTTAGAAGATTCTTTAACAAAAATGTTATATTTTTAAATATTACCTTTTCACCTGCTACACCTTTCTTTCCTTGCCTAAAATGTTTAATGTTTGGATCAGGAGTTCTTCGCCCTGTTGGCCCTTGTGGTCCTACATCTCCTGGATAACCCCTGTTACCCTTACACAAAAAACAGAAATCGTGATATAAATAAGTCCTACTTAGGTTTTTAAATTTATAATAATTGAAATTATACTACATGACTTAACTCTTTCATGCCCAGATGGGTACATCCTGCCTAAAGGTCAAAATTGCACAACTGGTTTAAAAGAATTTTAGAAATTAAACTTGTAGTCATTCATCTTCACATTGGAAAAATAAAACACTTCAGAGTTGAGATGTATTCAATAAAAAAATGTTTTATTCATCTGATTTTATACATAAAAATTAAAAAAACGCAAATCTTTATTTTGGGTTTATTTCAGCACATATGAGGAAAGTCATAACAGTTTTGTACAAATTGAACAAATTTGTTCTTGTATCATTAATACAAGTGGGACAACCACCTGGCCAGTGTGAATGTTTCAGATAGTTTGAGAGAATCACTTGAGAGTGAGAAGATGTATGAAGCAAGAGAGTAAGCAATTTGATTTGAAACAGATGTGTGTGACAGTGAAAGATACCAGAGTTGTAACCTTACATACAAGTGAAGTTTTATTTTAACCTCAGTTGTCATGGTATAGTAGGATGTAATGGTCTATATTTCAGTTTTAAGGAGCCATAGTAATCTAAAGGAGTAATGCAAACTGATTTTCTGTTGAATATATAATCCAGTTCAGCAGAAATTGTAGAAATCAGAATAAAGTCATAAAAGTTTAGCTTGGTTATATGTTACTAGTAGAAACAGAGTTTGTGAACAACTTCCATTATACCTAAAGTCTTGATTTTTTTTAAAATTTAATAGCTCTAGAGCTTGCTCTATCATTTCATACTTCATTTGAATTATAATGTTGCAGTAGGATAGAAAAAGAAATGTTTTTATGGAACAAGATGAGGTAAGCTTAGTTAAACCATTCTGCACTCAAACTAAATTAACACCATTTCCAACAAAAACGACCTTGAAAAGTATGTTAATGACGTTACAGAAGCAATCTCTAAGGCCACTGAATCTATAATACACTCTGCACACAAAATATTATCTCCATAACACTGGACACCAGAAATTTAAAACTATACCCCCACACCACACTGTTCAAGAGAGAGACTGATGGCCTGTGGTCAAAGGGGGACAGCTGAACCCCAAACAGCCACCTCCTCTTATTGGCCACCCTTGTGCAGTGTATACATTGCACACACTCAAGATCCAGCCCTGCATTCAAGCAGTTACTTTGGTCAGTAGGGCCTAATAAGGCCTTGTTGTAGAAATTAAACTGGATATATTAGGTAAAAGGGTTTCAAGAACTGCATTGAAAGTTTTTCAATCTGCTTTAGTGTAGTTGCATACTGGTGGGAGGTTAATGCATGTATTCTGTTTTCTGATTTGTAGAGTAAAAGAGATAGGAAAGTGGTCATTAGCTATGTCAAGGTGAACTGTGAAGTTCTGGGAAAAAGAGTATGGATTATAGCGAGGTCAAGTATATCATAATTATCTGTGGCTGCATGATAATGTGCCAGAGTGTTATCGTTAATGACATGAATTTTATTGTTCTCAAGTAGTGTGTGAAGGCTGGAGCCTCTGACATTGGTCCCGTAGCTGTGAAAGTCAGTGTGTGAGGCACTAAAGTCTCCAACTAAAAAGGGTGTGGGCTGTATCTGTGTGTGTGGGTTGAGGGTGGGGAAAGTGGTGGCGAACCTCAATCTGCACACAGGCAGCCAGGAGGTACAATCTGGCCCTGCTTGAATGGGCAAATAAAATTACCTAAAAGAAATGAAAAACATATATGCAAATAAGTTAATATAAAGTGGATTTGAAACTTATATCAAAACTCATAGTAGTGAGTTGCATGGTCAAAGAAACAGTAAGCACATGTGCCACAAAACATGCAGCCACTACCAAAAGTCATTTTACACGACATGATTGTGTACAAACTCGACCCCCTGAAACTCACCCACTGTAACAGCTACACTATAAATATTCGAGAGTGTAAACAACCAAGACATTAGTAGTAAGCATATAAAAAATGAAATAAATCTTTGGAATCATTGCCGAGATATAGCCTAGCCAAATCTGACCATATTTTCAATTTTCTTCGGGTTTTTTTTCTTTGTTTTCACACACACAATTTGTTTTTATGGGATGCTTGTTTAATTTTCAAACTTCAGCCATCATCTCAATCTTTGCCCAATTGCTTTGAAATTAATATTACTACTTTCATTTTCACTCTACTAACAATAGTGTTTGTGGCTCACAGCAACAAGTTTTGTGGCCTACAGGGCTGGTTTTATCTAAAACCAAATCTAGATTTTAAATTTCCTTTAAACTTTACAGGGATAAACAATACCACTACTTTTCATTTTGTGCAAAGCTTCATGGAATTCTGATAAGTGCTAGTTAAATTATAAACTGCCTGTGTAAATGGGAAGAATTTAGACTAGCTTCCCATGTAAACAAGTGAAACTCACGACTTTTAATTGTTTGTTGACAGCCATTACTTCTTTGTCCAAGCTAATAGATTTGTTTATAAATTTCATTCACAAGCTTGTTTTCCATTCACACAAGCCTATATACTTGTGTGCAATTGGTAGCTCATGTTAGCTTCATAACCATAGGACTTGCTTGTATTCTAGTATTATTTACTATTAACTATGTGAGGGGTGTGTGTGTGTGTTTCTGTCCACTGTTTATTCACATGTACCTACTTATATATATATGCTCTGTAAGTGGTTTTGGCTGGCAGGCTTTGGCCAGGATTGTCCAAGTTTTGACTGTTACTCATTACTGGAGTGTGATATTAGCTTGTTGTGTGTACCTAGATCATGTTACTTGTCATTTGGCTGCATTTTTTTGCCAATACCAACATATACATAATCATATACAAGTAACTCATATTTGTGCTATCATTAATAAAATTGACAAACATGATAATAGGATAATTCTAAACCAAGTATAGAGTGTACTTTTTTAACAAGCAATTTTAAACAATGTATCCAATAATACTGATTGCTTTGACCGTATTCTGCTATCAGTTCTTTTAGTCGCTGTTTCTATACCAAAAAAGATTTTTCTTGGCTGTGCTTTTTTTTTACAGCCAAGCTGTTTTTGGTTTATATGTATTAAATGAAACTTTCTGATTAACAATTAAAAAAAAGTTTATTTGCTATAATATTGATATTATAATAAAAAAAACTTGCTTTTATTGTACCTAGTGATTGTAATCACAGTGAAACTGCATGCAGTGTTTTACAAATGAAAATAATGATCAAATTTACAGTTTTATAAAATAAAAAATTATAGGTATGTTTTTAAAAAAACATAGAAAAATATAAAATCAGTAAGCAAGGTCTACAACAGAGGTAAGCATTTGTACTTGTTTCTTAAGAAATATCACAATTAAATCTTTTCAAAACTTCAAAGCTATGAATTCACACAGTCATCAGATATAAAGTTTTGTTTGTTTATTTGAAGTTAAGCACAAAGCTAGACAATGGGTTATCCGTGCTCTGCCCATTATGGATACTGAAACATAAGTCCGCAGACATACCGCTGTGCCACTGGGGGGCCAAATATAAACATAAGATATTTTATTTACAATAGTTACATAATATGTAGAACTTCCTTGCAAAGTTTCATACTACTCCATACAGTAGTTTTTTAAAACTTATTAAAACAGACCATATAACAGCTGCAACAAATTGACACCCCTAGGTCAATTCAATCATAACTCACTTTTGAAATGAGGTTAGAGAGACAACAAACAATTTTTATTGAAATAATTGTGTCTTATTTTGTATTTTCTAATTATTTACAAAGTATATATATGATTGTGCTTCTTGTCTTTTTTGACACTTCAATACCAGTAGCTAAAACTGAGCTAACAGAATTGAGATCATGATTCACTCATAGTAGATTCCTTAATTTCAGGATAAAGTTTAATTATGAGAAAGGAATAAATAAAGCTTATTAATATAAGTTTTAAATGCATTCAAATAAAATTTGAATTTTATAAAATATGCTTTTATTCTATTTTTATGAAAATCAATCATTACCTTTGGGCCTTTAGATCCTTCCCTGCCTTCTCCTGTAGGTCCCTTAGGCCCTAGTTCACCTTGATCACCTTTTACACCCTGAAAAATAAGTTCTTCCAATCAAATTTTCTAAACCCAGTATTTGCTAATACAGTTTCAAAGATCAGTTTTTAAACATTTCACACTTTCTGAATAAAATAAACTACATGAAATAAAACATGATTATTTAATACCAATCAAGATTTGATGAATTGTTGAAAACTTTAAAATCAGATGCCTTTTTTATGGTTTATAAAGATTTGATAAATACAATCTAAAACATTATCAAGCAATTATTACAGAAAATACTACAAAGTCAAAAATTCAAATATTTTAATTAGACATGCTTGGGCCTTACAGTCTCTGATCTGACTGTTTAACCTATGTGTTTCTTAAGATGCTATTTATGTTGGAAAAAATAATAATACCAAATATATAGACCTATCTTATATATTACAAATCCTTTGACATTATAAAAGTATTTTGAACATTATTATGACATAAAAATGCAAGTGCACATTCATCTGTACATGAAGATCGAGGGCCAACAAATGCAAGATTACAAACTGACTAAAAACACTTCTAATACTGCTGACTATAAATTTGGGCATTTGATTCCTTAATATATATATTATTAGTAAAAAATATGGACATTTGGACATTCCTTAATATATGTACATGATGTGATAATTTAAAAAAAAGAAGGTATTTTCTACAAGATTTTTTCTATAAAATGGACAAAGAATTTCTAAAGTCCACAATTCTTCATAGTTTCATGATTTTACCACTCAAAAGAAGTTTAATTTTTTATAGACTTTTCATTTTAAAAATATTGTTTTAACTTGTGACGGCAACCTTGTATAACAACAGTGTTGTGATATTCAAGTACAATGACATCTGACAGATAAGTTTAAAAGCACCATAAATACCTGTGTATAGTGTAACCCCGCATATAGTGTGCAGTAGATTTTTTGGCCTCACATGCTAGGAAAAATCAATATGCTCATGAATGGTGTATAGAGCTATTCTACAAGGTGATCTGCCTTTTTGTAGCGAGTGGTGTATTGTTGTGTTGATTAGTAATTGTATTTTTGTGTGTGAATGAGTGAATACCATTGCCAACTAATTAATTGCATTAATTAATGAACAAACAAAGGCTGAACTTATGATCACACGTAAGTTCTGTATATGTGTTTTTAAACAATGCTCTGTATGTAAAGTATAGGAGAGTGGCTACAACTGAATATTACTGTGAATATATCTCAGCATAGGATAGTAAAATCTCTTCCTCTTCACTGTAATTTTTTGTTTTACTTCTGGTGATCCAACAGTGACAAATGATGATTATGTCAGAATATAGGATGTGTTGAGCCAACATTTGGACTGAAAATTTCACCTGAAAAATACTAGAAGAACACTGTTCCTCATATAGTGCACACTTTATATTTGAGCCCAAAATGTTGGGGTAAAAGTGCCCACTATCCATAAAATGCAAATGCAAGAAATGTACTGCACAGAATAATTTCAAACTTGAATAGCAAAGAAAAGAAACACAAACATATAATAATAAATAAACAAAAAGCTTTATTCACAGTAATTGTGGAATTTACTTACTGACCAGATTACAGTTTTTGGTTTGGTTGTTGTTCAACACAAAACTGCACAATGGGCTATCTATACTCTACTCACCATGAATACTAAATCATGATTTTTAGAATCATAAGGCTGCAGAACTACCACTGAGCTACTGGGAGAGGGGAGGCTACAGTTTTTCTGTTGTCTCTTTCTAGTTGCTTGGGTGAGAGGATTCCGAAAATACTTCCACATAGGAAAAGACAACTTCTCTATACGTTTACAAAGGGAAGTGGTAAAAGGAATTGTGATTTATCACCAAAATTCAGATAAAACATTAAAAGTGTGGTATACCAGAATCAAATACTGTATACTTCTACGACTGTTCCAAACAAAATTTATGGGAGAGAAAAACTCCTAACTTATGTCAGTTTGTACAACTATCTGAGCCATTCCTTGAGATGGATTTGTCCATTCCCAGGAGTCTCAAACAGGCCAAAGTAATATGGATAATGAGTTTCTAACCATTGGCATATGCAAGCTTTACCTAAGAAAAAAGGATTAGTACACAATCACAACCTTTCAACATTTACAAGAAAATTTAGAAATATTAACCTGAGTATAACTGACTAAATATATATTCTAAACTAGTTAAGTAAGGGTGCAATTCAAGACTATTTCAGTCATTACAAGATTACACTTACCTTTAATGCCCTGTGTGCATTATTTGTTTTTAACTCCAAAATCAAATACAGCTCATTTATATGTCTTAATTAATGAATAAGTAAATAGCACTTGAATTAATTGTTAGAATAGTAATCTAAAATCTGAAATTATTTGATATAAAATATAGAGTTTGAAGTAACAGATTCTTAGTTGAAGGATGTGAAATTGTACTTTATCGATTTATTTTGATATAAAACTGCAAGTGATTATATTTTACTTCTCTTGGACTAACAACCTATCATATAGTGTGTGTCTATATAACTGAAAGTATTTTGTCAACTGTTGCTTGCTGCTATGTATTAATGTTTCCCATGCCGGAAAAATTGCCAGGTAGATACCAGACCAAGCATTGCACACTTACAATGAAGGTGTAGCATTGCTGTATGGCTGGCTGGCAAAATAAAGTGAAACAATTTCAGGCTTGAAAAGAATGTTATAGAAAGTTTATGGAGTAAAAAGCAGTCTTCTCGGGTGATCAGTTTTTGTACAATATGAGAAGAATCTGCCAACAAACCATCACTAATCAAGTTCCACAAAACCACTATATAAATATAATAATTGATTTATACAAAATTTACTCATAGACAAACTTAAATGAACAATAGAATCAAATGGGAATAAATTCTGTCTTTCACTTTTGCAACATGCATACAGACTGTCTCAAGAAGGAGATTGTAAGTAGCTTCAAACAGGCTGTTGCTATGAAAAGTATAGTTTTAAGAAATATGTTGCTGGTGAGACTTTCGACAGACTTTGAAAAACTCTCCAACAGTTGGTGGATTAAGTATAAAAAAACATTAAGAGACTAAGATCATTACCAAATACTATGAAAACATCCTAATAGTTAGAAAACAGAATATCCTAACAAAGAGCTTGATAAATGTAAAAACCTCAAACATTTGGAGGTCAACACATTTAACTAGGGAAGCCAAACTTACAGTAAGAACTGGTAAAGCTAGAATTGCAATTCACAGTCATTATCTTTTAAATAAATAGACAAAGTTCCTCAGTACTCTTATGTAGCCTATTTCATCATATGGATAAAAAATATTATTAGCATGAAGAAAATGTACAGTAGTTTGAATTGTACAAAGGTACCTTACTAGTAATTGCTATTGGTAAACCCTATTTATAGCCAAGTTGACCAAAGCACCCAGATGGTGTGTGAAAAGTCTCGGGTTTGATACTGAGCCGCTAACAATCAGAAAACCTCTTAAGGAGATTTAAGTAATATAAATCCTGTTTTTCACCAAATCTGTGCTAGAGAGAAATTTTAACCAGTTTCTATTTTCCATTGTTTAGTACTGTAAGAATCACAAAACAGCATTTCTGGGCAGGAAGTCATATTTGGAATCTTGCATATTTTTAGAATAAGACCAAAAACATTTATTATTATAATATTCACAACTACAAACCAGATTGCTAAGTATCAACTTACAGGAACTCCTAGTGGACCTTGAACTCCTTTCTCTCCTGTTAAGCCTGTGAGTCCTCTGCGGCCCTAAATATAAATTTAGACTTTTGCATATAAATACATATTCAACTAAATGAGGTAGCATATAAAAAAGATTTAGGTTCAATGTGTGGTAAGTATACTTTACCTTGACAGGTAATGCTGTTAAGATCTTAAACTATAGCTTATATGTTAGCAATACATTCTGAACCAGCACAAGCTCAATACTCACAGCACTGAATTAATTAACTGTATGGCAGTAAAAGATGAACTGACTAAATCATGCACATTTATTATTATCTAACTGACTTAAACCCTTGTTCCTCAATAATAATCATAATTTACTATTTAGCCAAACTCACTTTTATATATGGCTCAATTTATTTATGCACACAATTTTTATGACCTATTTTTATGAATGTTCCTAACATAAACAAAAGATATAAATCAAATGTAAATTTTCAATGTTCTTCAGTTTCAGTGATATATCAGCTATAAACAGTGGCTAAAATTCACATGTCAGGCTAGAACATCTTTCTATTAGACTTCAGCATATACTAAAAATTTACCCAGGTATGACAGAAATAGAAAAGCCTATTACTTAAAAAATTTCTAAATTAAAAGAAGCAAGTGATGTTTCTAGAATTTCCTTTTACTTAATAATAATTATTATTACTTTAGACTTTCTTACTTTTTTAATGTATGTATGAGCCTTATTGCAACAGTATATCTATCTATAAACATGTTACATGATTTTGATATTATACCAGTTCTAGGTCTTTTCAAAAAAACACCATCCAAATCTCTTTCTCTCTTTGACATTTTTCTTAAAACACATTAATCTTATAGTTCATAATATATTCATATGGATGAAGAAATGTCGCATAACACATTGTTAAACAAGGATGGAGATGATTCTATCAGACAGTACGTTTTTGTCATTTATGGTATCTATTCATCCTATAGTTTTAACTATCTTGATTGGCTCTAATACTGGTTATTGCAATTTTATATTGTGGTTTAAACACCAGATCAAATTCTTAAATAATTCCTTTTAAATTAACTTTCAAACATTAATATTAAATAAAAAATGGTCTCTGACTAAATTATGCTGTAATCATGTGACACAACACCACTTCAACTGTTAGTCACAAACTTGCAAATAGAAGATAGCAGCACTACAAGATGCCATATCATGGTTCAGAGCTATTGTCTCTCAAATCTTCAAATGTAGCATACTAAAAGCACACACATCTACTTTGGATTGTTAAAAGTAAAAGCAAAGCACATATCATAATTTTCTAGTTCCACATTTCTTTAAGATTATCGGTTAACAGTTTAACATATTCTCAAAATATCTCTCAAGTAAAAGTTATGGTTATAATAATATGTGTTATAAGTATAGTAGCTTTGTGTCTCATGATAGGCTAATATACCTTTATTTTTGTGATAACCAGGCTTTTGAGACTTTCTTATAATATTGGATGCTGTTATAAACTTGGCTATCCTAAAATATAATTTAAATTTTTTTTGCATATAATAATATTTAAGGCCTTAAGACTATAAAATGTGGATATTAATCTATTGCATTAGTTATTTTTGAAGCTCAAACAATAAGAGAGATGCCTACTCTTAGGCTTAATTTTTTTTTTAATTTGTAAATATTCATTCTGTTTTGAAGTAACACAATATTTAGTTTCTGACTTGTAATTAACCTTCATTAAAAGAACAGTAAAGTTCAATACACAGTTCTACCAGTTGCAAAAAAACAAAACAAAAATCTTAATTCACACAGTGTAAAGAAATGGTGGAAAAGTATTATCATTATAGTTAATTATTATTTAGAACTATATATCAAATGTCAAACATTTCTTCAGTTAATTAGTAAATGTTATTAATTAAAACTATACATCAATTGTCAAAACATTCCACCAGGTAATTAGTATTTTACAGCAATTTAAAAACGCTATAAGTAAGACTTTTAAACTCAAGTTATCTGTTAGGTCTATCGAACTTACATCGAAGGAAATTGGAACTTCATATTTTATGATGAAATACATTTCAATGTATTTTATTATCAAACTTTTCTGTAAAACCAATATATAAAAAAATAATGTTTGGACCTGTTCTTCTTTCAAAGCTGGTTGACTTTTGCTGGTTAGATCCAACCAAACTTGTTTAACTTAATTATTTGTTCCTGTTTGTTGCAAAATTTAAAATACTCACCACAGGGCCAGGTCGACCAGATTCCCCAGGTTCACCTTTAACTCCAATAGAATTAATTCCTCCTTCTCCTGGATCTCCCTGAAAGAATAAACTAGAAGATATGTATTGTTCAAACACCACGTATTTCAAAATTAAAAATTACTATAAAACTTCCCAAGATATATAGCTCATTTAATAAAGAAATTATATGTACTATTAAGATGTCTCCTGAAACAAGATTTGTTTATTACAATAGGTATATTTTATCAAATATTCAAAAGTTTCATTTGATAATTAACTATATGAATTACAGTATTCCTTCAAATATAACTTAACTAGTAATATTACAATAAATATTCTTCTCCAATGCAACAAAACCCAGATAAATTACTAAAAATGTGACAAATACCTTAATGATCCATCCTTAAACAGAGCCCTAAATTGCTATAAAGATTTTTCCTCAGATATATATATGCCTAAAAAGGTTTAGCAGGTCTCAGTTCATGTAACTACAATAAAGATTACTCCTCAAACGTAGATATCTAATGAAGTACTATAAAGATTTGTCTTCTAATATATCCCATCTCAGGAAGTGTTAAAGATATATATATATTTCCTTACAGTTCATACAACAAACTATGAAAAATATCACTCCTTTACCATAGCTCTCATGAAAAATTACTATAACGACCTCTTCTTAAGCAATAAGCCAAATCTACATTTTCTACATAAACCTTTCCACAAACATTTCTCAAAATACATCTTGAAAAAACTTTTCTCTTAACATTGATCCTGAAATGACAATACTACTTATTATAAAATAAGTTACAGAAATTCTGAGTATAAATATACATCGAATAGCTTAAGTTCTTTGGAAGCAAAGATAAAGTAAAATATAAATGTAACAGCCTAAGTCTTCTGATATAACAGTGGTTCTCAAAGTGTAGTCTGCTAGGGTCCTCCAGGTGTTCTGCACGCTGGTTCAAAATGTAAGTCACATGAGAGAATAGAACAGGTGAGATAGGACTGGTAGGTGGTCCTGCAGGGCCTTTTGCCCCACCAAAGTGGGTCGCAGATGAAAATGTTTGAGAACCACTGTGCTATAACAATAAAGAACATCGCATGAAACAGAGGCTGATAAAGATTTATCATTTAAACCTCCTCATGAGGCTCAAAAGGTGTTTTTAGTGGTAATGAATGAGAAATGAATCAAAACTGAACTTTTTATCAATAAGAATCATTGAACAGTAATGCAATATTTTGAATAGTGGTTTAGAAAGTTTTGGAGAAATAGTGTAAATAATTTGGTGATAAGTTTTTGTTATCAACTACCTAATAACCTTTCTTTTATTGCAAAAGTCAATATTTGTAAACTCCAATTACTTACCCTCATCCCATAATCTCCAAGTGGACCAGGTGGACCCCGTACACCTGGAATTCCTGGTATACCATGTTGACCTGGTGCTCCCTTTAACAAAAAAAAACATATGTTTAAAATAATTAAAATGTTGAACAGAGTAACACAGTTTTTGCTTAATAGTTGTAACACAGTATAGAAGTGAAAAAATATCAGCACAGAGCATTAATATAACATTTTTATATTCATATTTTTATGAGAAAATGAAAATTCATCTTGAAACTTTCACACACAAATTTTACATTTTTGTACTGTAATGATATGATAATTTGTTTTAATATAATGTGTTAAAACTAACAAAATTTAATATTGGTAAAGGTATCTTTTGAATTTATGTATGTCTAAACTCCCAACCACTATTTCAAATATGAAAATTTTCACTCACATCTGTCCCATTACATCCAGGAAATCCTTGCTTCCCTCGCATCCCTTCATCTCCAGGTAAACCCTAAGATCAAGGTTTAGTGTTTATATTTTATAGTACTAAATAAACTGGTTCATAATTTTAAGCGATTTACAGTTCATAAAAAGTACTTTTATATTCCACATGCAATCTTTAATATTCACACACTCAGAAACCTAATATTTGGAAATCCAGAAACAGATATATCTCAGTACTAGAATGTTGTATTAGCGAAGTTCAGTTTTGTCATCTTATAATAGTCTTTTATTAATTAGATTATTTTATTTATATTAAAAGCAAGTATTACATTCAAACTAACCTAAAAAAGCTAATCAGAGTTGATTGTTTTTATTGTACTCTATAAATACTCTTGGATGAACAACTCATATAACCCTGTTTGCTTTTCCCATCTTCATGATTAACATCAACAAATTTTTAATCCATATCATGGTGACACAATCACCATGATGTGGATTAAACATGTAGCCACCTCAAAGAGTTTCTATTTAAAGGAATAAGATCATAAGCTACTTTTAAATTGCGCTATATTTCCTCACACTATCTTCCTTGTAACTTAATGAAGGTGGGCAGATAATTTCAAATAAGTTGGAAAACAAACCACTTAGATTTTTGAAATAATGTATCCTCATATATTGCTTTGATTAATAATCCTAATGTAATCAATGTAAGTTTATAAACTTTAAGTAAATTTTGCCTTAAAAGTCTGCTAATGATATGGCAACTGACCATTCCATAGTGAATTAAAATTGTTAATCTTGATATGGTAATGTTGTGATATATATGTACAGTATTGGGAATAATTATGAAATCTGTTGGTAAAAAAAAGGGTATGAAAGGCAAGTACTGTGGGAATGGTACTCATTCATCATTTGAAAATGAAATGCACCAAAATGCAGTCATCAATTGGTAGCTTGCATTATGATTGGTTACCATTCAACCAATCAGAAAAAGCCACACAAACATGGTGTCTATAAAAGTACATGTAGTCATACTATTCCAAGTAAGAGTACTGTGAATCTAGTCATGACAGCAACCAACAAATAATAAGTGCCACTAAACAACACTATGTTTAAACTGATGTTAAATGTGTGTGTGTGTGTGTGTTTTCTCAACTTAATAAAGTTTGGTAATAATAAATATGCTTTCAAATTTAATCTAAAGTAAACAATCTAGACTTTGTTTCAGCAATTTTTAAATTATAACAGACATCAAGTGATCACTTCATATTGGCTGACACTGTTCAGTATGAATTACAGTATGAAAGTGTATTACAGCAACATTAGTGTAAAAGTAAGAACACATAAATGCCATGATCTCTATTTTACTATATACTATAAAAGATACCAATTGTTCATGAATAATCTCATGGTGCATTTGTTTATCTTTTATTGCTAGTTAGCTTGGCACATCTTAATGAAAACAATCTAAACTTAATAGATTTGTATGTTTGTTAGTCTTGGAGCAAACCCACATTGGGCTATCCACCATGGGGAATTGAACCCCAGAGTTTACCATTCTAAGTCTATAAACTAGCCTCTGTCCCACCAGAGTACTAATAGACTTGTAAATTTGTTTGTCAATGTAATTATTTATAGACACATTACCATTCATTTGTCTATGCAGTATGATAAGCCAATTTTCTTGTACTCTTCACAGTGATGAAATAAAAGTAATAATCAAAGTGAAAATTAGCAAACAATTTAAGAAATTATCAATAAATATAATTTCTGACAGATGTGCTATTCTAATACAAGAAAAGTATGATAATGTGAAGCCCTCACAAAACATGCAATATATGTAATAAAGTTAGATAAATTGATTCTATTCTTTAAACAGTTGCAATTATTCCTGTACAATATACACAATTTTGCAAAATGGTGCTTCCTATAAACTACAGGATTCTTTTTGTTTGAATAAGTATGGTTATACAAGGAAAGTTAATTCCTGTTTACTGTTAATTTTTTTATATTAACTGCATATGCATAAATTGGTGATCATTATTATTCTGTCCCATTTGTAATTGAGGGTGGAACACTATCATGACATAAGCAACAATAAATGAATTGCTAAATTTACTTCATTAACTAAACTGTGGACTCAGTCTCTTAAATATTTAGAATTTTTAATAAATAAATATAACTTTTCTCCACATTTGAAACAACAAATTAACTGCTGAACAGAACTTGTTTCGCAGAGCTGTAAACTCAGTCTGAGAGCTTTAATGTGTAGAAAAACGTTTATCTTTTTTTTTACTGCAATCCCTTTTCAGATGACTTATTTTAGATGAGAAGTTTCCCAAGCTGGGAGGAAATATCCAGACTTTGGTTGGCAATGTCAGGAACACATTACATGTGCAATAGTTTTAAGAACTTACGTAAGTTATTACAAAGTTTTAAATAATGTTTAAATTATTATTTTAAGTGTACACACAAAAAAGATAAGTAGTTTGAGAACACTTTATTATAATATTGATTTATAACATGAAATGTGAATGTTTGAGACAACATAATTAAACATAATTTAATTAAGTGATGCATTTCATAACTAACCATAGCAAATTCCTCATATAACTCATAAGAATACAGAAAGATATTACTATAAGTAGCACAAAACTTAGCTTACCGGAACACCAGCTGATCCACTGAATCCTGGAACACCCTGTTCACCCTAATAATGTAAACAATAATGAAAAAAAATTATATTGTGATAACTCTTTTAACATTTATATTATTGTCCATTATGCTGGTATTGATGGTTGGTTACAAGCTATGTTTTCCATGTACTTAGAAAATTTGTTTGTTGTTTTAATTGTGAATTGAATGTATCTCTGTTTAAAGTAACTTTTAACTCCAATTTACTTTAGTCATTAACATATCAAATGAAAAAAGCTTTGTTACAAGAATAACTAAACAAGAACTTGTAACTTGCAGAGTATGAATTGCAACCAATTTTAATAATCAAACAAACTTAGTGGTAATAAAACTGGAATACTATAACATATTCTATCTTCCACTCATATGTAATGTATTATTCTTCACTTATACAGATACAAGAAATATCAGAATCTTTAAAATGACTGTTTTTGGTAGATAAATTAGTTTTACACTGCAGAAGTTGAAATTAACCTTAACATTTTACATACACAGCTATGAGCACACACAATCAAACTTGTGTGCAATACAAACACAATATACTTGAAATAACTTAAAAATGGAATAATGAAACATTAAAAGGCTCATTCTGCTAAAAAAATATATCCTACTTTCTGCTTTCAAGTTTCAAATAGTTATTTGTATTCTTTATATTTAAAACGTGTTCATATGGACTTATGTGTCTGTCCTCCAATTATTCTGAACCTTGATCCTAACACTAAAATAAATGGTCTTCATGGTACTTATAATCAAGTTTCTTTAGTCATAATTAAAATGGTTGTCTGAGTTGTATTTTATGCCCAAACTTGCATGTGCTAAGTAGAATAAAATTAGCATTATCACATCACAATTCAAATTTTGTTTTGAGATAACAAAATCACTTTATTTAAAAAAATTAACTTTTAAGATTAGAGAGAATATTAAAATAAAACTTAGTGCTTCAGGAGCCTGTTTTTGTCAGGTTATCATTAATTAAGGAATAGATTAATATATTAGTGAACTAACCCTAATTCCTTTAGGCCCCAAAGCTCCAGGCTCTCCTCTTTCTCCACGTGCACCATATGGACCATATGGTCCTTCATCACCCATGCGACCTGGTGGTCCAGGTGGACCTGTGACTCCCGCAAGACCTATAATTCCCTAAAGAAATCACATTTTGAAGAGAATTAATGATACATTAATGTTAATATTTATATAGATCAAATACTTAAATATACATATTTGATATACTATCATGCTTCATTTCATTATTACAAGTAACCTCTAATCTGTGCATTTGTGAACAGAAACATGCTTTTTCTGTAGAGCTTTAATCCTTTAATAGTTAAAATTACTCTTTTCAAGTACTGACTTGGAGTACTTCTTTTAAGTAGTGTCTAATTTTGGATATATTGTAAGTAAACTAACTAAACTCTTTTATGAAATCAACATACCTATATTGAACTTAGTATTTAACATTTTTACCCTAACATAAATATCATAACAAATGAGAATTCATTACATTTTTTGAAATCTAACTAATTACATTCAAAACAAAAGTAATAATATTGTTACGACATCGGAGGTCATGTGACACTAGTATCACACCACAAGCTTCTCGAACGTTCCCGTCCCTTCCTGAAATATCGGGAGTTTACTAGATCTTGGTATTCTTTTATACATATAAGATGGTCACAACGTGACGGCAATAAAGTAATGAGTAATTGAATGTATGTGGACAGAGAATATTGTTGGGCATGTGAGACGTTCGTTGTGGGTTATAGCGTTGGTTATACCGGGACTGTTGAAATTAAGTGTATTGCAAAGTTGTATTCAGAAAGAATAAACCAGTTTTATTTAAGAAAGGACTTGTATCATTAGAGTTTCTTCGGAAATAATTTACTAACGAACGGAGACGTAACAAATTGGTGTCAGAGAGTGGGACAGAAAACAAAAAGAAAAGAAACGAAAATGGAAACGAGAAGTGGAAAATCAAACTACAGCTTAGCAGATTTGATGGCAGCAATACAAGAACAACAAAAGAAACAAGAAGAACGAGAAAATAAACAAGAAAAGAAACAAGAAGGGAGACAACAGCAGTTGCAAGAAAACCTACAACAGTGGCAGCTCGAACAGCAAAATAAACAAGAAGAGAGATTACAGCAGTTGTTGGAGGAAAAAGAAAAGAAACATGAAGAGAAATTACAGCAGTTGTTGGAGGAAAAAGAAAAGAAGCAAGAAGAACAGAAAAGAAACAAGAAAGATTACAGCAGTGGCAAGATAATCCTACAACAATAGCAGCTCAAACAGCAAACTAAACAAGAGAGACTACAGCAGTGGTTGGAGGAGAAAGAAAATAAACAAGAAGAGAGACTACAGCAGTTGTTGGAGGAAAAAGAAAAGAAACAAGAAGAGAAATTACAGCAGTTGTTGGAGGAAAAAGAAAAGAAGCAAGAAGAACGAGAAAAGAAACAAGAAGAAAGATTACAGCAGTGGCAAGAAAACCTACAACAATGGCAGCTCAAACAGCAAAATAAACAAGAGAGACTACAGCAGTGGCTGGAAAAGAAAGAAAATAAACAAGAAGAGAGATTACAGCAGTTGTTAGAGGAGAAAGAAAATAAACAAGAAGAGAGATTACAGCAGTTGTTGGAGTAAAAAGAAAATAAACAAGAAAAACGAAAAAAGAAAC